CTTCGGCCCGCCCCGGCGTTAGTTAGGGTCAGGGTTCGGAGGGCTGCGGGGCCTGTGCGTGTCTGCCCGGTCGCTGGTGCTGCCGAAGCGTGGGGAGGGCAGCATGGCACTGCAGCAGCACTGCTGCTTCCTCGCCGGTCCGTCTGGGCCTGGCACGGGCTCAGGAAGTTGGGGCTGTTCAGCCTGGGGGAGAGAAGGTTGTTGCATGGAGACCTTATAGAAACCTTCCAGTGTCTGAAGGGACTACAGGGGAGCCAGAGACTCTGTCAGGAGCTGCAGTGACAGGACAAGGGGCAATGGGTACAAATTGAAAGAGGGCAAATTAAGTTAGGTATTAGGAAAAAGCTTTTTACTGTGAGGGTGGTAAGACACTGGCACAGGTTGCCCAGGGAGGTAGTGGATGCCCCAAGCCTGGCAGTGTTCAGAGCCAGGTTGGATGAGTCCTTGAGCAACCTGCTCTAGTGGGAGGTGTCCCTGCCCATGGCAGGGGTTGGGACTAGATGATCTGTAAGGTCCATTCCAACCCCTAAAATTCTGTGATTCTGTGACTGAACTCCAGGACAGGTTTAGACATATCCTCTTCCAGTTTGAAACCATTTCTCATTATCCTGTCAGTACAGGTCTTGGTAAAGATCCTCTTTCTGTCTTTGGTATGAATCCCCTTTGTATGTAAAGGCCACAGACTGAAAGGACTGTTAATACTTCTGCTGAGGTAGTGTTACTTCTACAGATCATACTCTATGCCCAGTAATGATTTGTTCTATTTGTGCTTTATAAAAATAAAACATAAATAACTTCACTGTATCTAAAGGTAAACTTGAGCCTAATTTCTTGCTGTCCAAATTTTCTTATTGTACTCTGAGTGAGACAGGTTTTACTTCATGTTAGTAGTCTGCTATTCTCTTGATCAGCCTCTCTTGACAGAGTAGTCTGCTATTTTCTTGATCAGTCCTCTTGACAGTTAAGCAATTAATAGCCTACACTTTTTTTATCTGTGTTTTTTAGGTGTGTGGTGGTTTGGCCTTGACTGGGTGCCAAGCTCCAACACTCCCCTCTACAGTAGATCAGGGCCGGGAGGGGGAAGAAAATATGTAAAAAACCCTAACCAATCTCATGGGTCAAGATAAAGGCAGTTTACTAAGGCAAAAGTGAAGGTCATGCACAAGCAAAGGGAAAAAACAAAGATTTTTTGTCTCTCCTTCCCATTAGCAAGCAATGTCTGGTGTGGGAAGCAGGGCTTCAGTACACATAGTGGTTGCTCCAGAAGGCAAATGTCATAAATAACAAATGCCCTCCTCCTTTCCCTTAATTTTTTTTTTTATTTGAGCAGGCATCATACAGTATGGAATATCCCTTTGGATGGTTTCAGTCAGCTGTCCTGGCTGTGTTGCTTCCCAAGACCATGCCTGCCTCCAGCCTACTGGTGAGGGAGGAATGTTGGAGAGGCAGAGCTGGTGCTGTGGGAGCACTGCTCAGCCATAGCCAAAACACTGGTGTGATACCAACACCTCTCTAGCTACCAAAGCAAAGCACAGCACTATGCGGGCTGCTGTGGGGAAAATGAGCTCCCTCTCAGCCAGACCCAGTACAATGTGTCAGCTGTTGCTTATAGTGTTCATGTCTTTATTGAACAGGTTCTCTACTTGCAGCTAGAACAACAGCCTCACCATGTGTGGTATCTGGGCCCTGTTTGGGAGCGATGAATGCCTTTCTGTCCAGTGTCTGAGTGCCATGAAGATAGCACACAGAGGCCCTGATGCATTTCGTTTTGAGAACGTCAATGGGTTCACCAACTGTTGCTTTGGTTTCCACCGCCTGGCAGTTGTTGATCAGCTGTATGGTATGCAGCCTATCCGGGTGAAGAAATTCCCCTATCTGTGGCTGTGTTACAATGGAGAAATCTACAATTTCAAGCAGGTAAGTGTTGTATGCATGATATGTTGTTTTTTCCCCCCCTTTTATTTCAAAACTAATGGATATTCAAAAAGTCTTTACAACATGGTAGACTAGAATGTCAAAAAAAATTTGCAAGTGAGCAAAAGGCTAGTATTTAAAGTGAATTATCTTGATGAGCTGTGGATCTGGTGGTTTGTCTAGTAACATACTTAGTTATTGAATACTGAAGAATCACTTCTTAATGGACAAGAAGGGCAATAAGTATTTGCATCTTTAGGCTTGTTCAATTTAAAATAAAGATGCATTCTTTGTTACCTCTTGAGGAGGGGAATTCCAAGCCTCTGTGGAAATCTCTCTTCATGATTCAAGTGCTTTTAGACTGTCTTGTTCTTCAGTTACTTTGGGTTGTCATTCTCCAATCTGTTGGGTATTGCATTTTTATTATTGCATATCAGTCTAGATGGGTTATGTCACTTAAAATACATTAATGTATAGCATGCTTGCTTGTGCCTTTATGTAAAAGCAAGAAGCATTAGGGAGATGTTTCCAATATGCCACCAAAGTCCTTAGGTGTCTGCAGCAGAAGCCAGGGATTTATCTTTTCGTGGGATTTTTGAGAGCCACCTAAGTAAGTCTCGTGGACAAGCAGGAACTCTGCTTGCTTCCTAAATTGAATGTCCCTGATGGGTGTGACACTGCTGCTGAACATTGTCAGCAGGCCTCAGTCCCTGTGCCGAGGTGTCCATGCTGCCTGTGTTACTTGGGAAGATCATTCAGTTCATCCACATTTGATGTATAAAGCAACTTAAAATTGTGTCTGATTCACACTGAACGAGTGTGTAAAATGGATCATATACTGAGTGTGGTAGTATCAGAAATGTATTAGTAATCTGAGATGTCATAGTATTTCTAACATCACATTTTTGAAGTCAGAGTCAGGCTGCTGTTAGCCATATCAGTGACATCATTAATGTCACTGGAATTTGACTGAATAGGCTGGAGGTTTTTTTTCTTTTCCCAGTCTGTAAGTATCTGGCTATTAGGAAGGTGAGATACACTTTGCCTGCCAGTACATGTGAAATGTTTCGTACCAACAGTTTGTAATACTTGCTGTGTTTTGCATTGTGGTTTTCTGCTGTCAGAGGCACTAAGAATTACTCTCAATCGTGTTAAACACACAATCCTGAGGAGACTTTAATCATGCAAGGCTTGCATTGCCATCTGCAGGAATTTGTTCAGTTGTTGTCACTACGTTATGTACCCTCTTTTTATAAAGAGATTTTTTCTTTCAAGTTTATGGCTGAAACCTACTCTGGAAGGGATCACTGGTGAAACAGGTGTCTTATTTAGGGCAATGACTTGGTTATTTGAATATTGACTCAATTTGATCTAAGACTGACATGTAAATAACAATTAAACCCAAAGAGCTTAAGTTAAAATGCTAAAGCCTTGGTTTTGTGGGGTTTCTTGGCTTGTTAGTGTTTTTGGAACCTTTATTTCCCTCTGTTTTGTAGGTATTGAAAGGACTTTGAGAGTAGCTCTGCAAGAACATGAAGAATATTTGATCTGACTTAAGTCTGACAGCTAATTTCCTCCTCCCCCACTCCATCTGCACAGGCAGAGTGAAAAGGCTAGTTTGAGGAATGGAGAGGAAGACTAGGCAGAAGGAAAGTCTCTGTGCATAAAAGACACTGAGCAATTGCAGTGACTACATAAGTAAACTTAAGTTTATTTCTGAAGTACTTTACTCTGCAGAGATGTTAGAATTTTCTATGTGTTTTGTAGAGACAATGTCTGGCTAGTGCTTCCAAAGAGTAGGGTCATGGGTTTGCAGTTTGACATCCTCAGATAGAAGTGTATCCCTGAAAACTTGCCATAATGTGAATTGCATAAGACTGTAGAGTCAGTCTCATTGTCTAAGGGATGATCCTGGATAATACTTTGAACACAAAGTATAATTTCCTTCTTCGTTGCAGATATTTATGTAACTTCTACACTGTGATTTTTCACCCCACACAAATAGTTTTCTTATTAAACAATTACATGAATGGTGTTGCTTTTTTGATTAATAAGCAGTCAATGTTTGCAAATGCTTATTCATGTTTTTCTTTGTATTTTCTTCTTAGCTGCAGAAACAATTTGGATTCGAATATCAGACGTTAGTGGATGGTGAGGTTATCCTTCACCTTTACAACAGAGGAGGAATAGAACAGACAGCATCCATGCTAGATGGTGTATTTGCTTTCATCCTTCTGGACACTGCAAACAGAAAAGTGTTTCTGGCAAGAGATACCTATGGAGTCAGACCACTGTTTAAGGTGCTGACTGATGATGGATTTTTGGGTGTCTGTTCTGAGGCAAAAGGTAAAACCAGCTATGTTTAGTGACTAAATAATCTTAGGTATTGCTCTGGAGACAAACTTCTCTGGCAGGCTTTTCTTCTAATTGTGAAGAGAAAGTGAACTGTAAGTTCAGTAATATATGAACTAGATTTATTAGTATAAAAACTGCATATCATGTAGACAAAAACCACAGACAGTAAACCACCAAGATGTTTAATTGTCCTTAATATCTCCGAAGTAACTTGGTTGTTTAATTTTAGTGCTCTTCGTGTTCTGGAATCATAGAAGTATTGAACTCAGTATGTTTCATCTTACTGCAAAGTTGAATGTAGTTTGCAGAGTTAGACTAGATTTATGCTACAATAAATGATACTAGACTTTGTTCCTGTTATTCTGTAACAGTCTGGGAAATAGTGTTACAAGAACTGTTTATCTGTAAAAGCCAGGAACTTTGAAACCTACTGAAATTTCCTGCAGCATTGGCTAATTTTCAAGTATCACTTCTTTTATTTGGTGATAATTTTTTTCCTTTGAGATAACAAATTCACTGCTCCCTTTTTTTTTAAAGGAATTATCTCTAGTCTTGGACCTTACATAAAAAAAATCAAAACTGTGTCAAAAGGGAGTTTATTGCCTAAAATGCACTTGTCCTAAAATTGATTCCCATTTACTGTATATCTATTTTATTATCAGACTTCAGTGTAGGTTGACTCCTCTAATAGTAGTAATAGTACTAAGAGCTGTACCTTCTCTGCTTCTTGTGAAGGAGGAAGGGAAGTGAATGTTCTGGAGCCTGTGTCTTATAACCATCACAATGAATTACCCGTCCCTCTCTAACAGTAATTGTCTTTTGAGGGCTTGCTCAAGGGGCATCCAGGTGACCAGCAGCTGCAAAACGTCCTCTTTCAGAGGAGGAATGGAAATGAGGTTTGGCTCCAAGTCTGATTCTTGGCATTCAGTTGCAGTGGAGTAGATCAGTCTGGAACCAATGAGTTACGAAATCACTAAATGTCAATTAAGCAATCACTTCAGTGATCTCATTTTATTACAACGCCCTTGTTAGCTTGACTACACTTAATTTTAAACACAAAATCAGTTTATAATTGTCATTTGTGTTCTCAAAAGCATATTACACCTTGACCTGGACATCACATAGCCAGTTAGAAAAGTGCTCTTCTTAATGCACTTAAGGGATAAATTGCTACTTGCTGGTTTGCTTTCACTGCTATCTACCTCAGTTTGAGATGGCTCAGATGTATGTGTGCATCCTGCTAGACGCAGAATCATGCTCTAGCCAGGACTGAATCTGACTCAAAAGGTAATATTTTATTACCAGATTTAGGATCTGGAAAAAATGTTTGTGTATAGTTTTAGTACAGAGGCTGTTGAGTGAGGTATAACTTAACCATCCTGGGTCAAAACTTCTGACTTTTTTTTTTCCTCTCCATTTTATGTGTAGGACTTATCAACTTAAAGCATTCAACATCCTTATGTTCAAAAGTGGAACCATTTCTCCCGGGTCATTATGAAGTGTTGGATCTAAAGCCCTCTGGCAAGGTTGCATCAGTGGAATTAGTAAAATTTCATAGCTGTAAAGATGAACCACTCCATTCTGCATGTGATACAGTGGAAGCTCTGCCTTCAGGTAGTACAGCAAAGCTTTTGCTGCTTATTCTGATTTAGAAGTGAAAAAAATCATTGTCTTTGAATATAAAATTTGCCTTTGTTGGTTTAAATGAGTACCATTTAAGAAAAAACCAAACCCCCTGGACAAACCTTTAAAATGTAGGGACTTTAGAATTGTTTCTGTGGGCAGTCATGTACAAAGGTGAACTTGTATGCCCTCATTATCAAAGGAGATTCAGACAAATATCTGTGTTTCCTATGTGGCATAATTCAGCCTAAGTCTAAGTAACACTTTTGGACTTTTTACCTTCCTCCTTTCTATTTTGAACAGGCTTTGACCTTGAAACAGTGAAAAGCAACATCCGTATTCTGTTTGAAAATGCTGTTAGAAAGCGTTTGATGGCTCACAGAAGGATTGGTTGTCTTCTCTCAGGCAAGTAGCAAGAACCACAGTGATTCTGTATCTTCTCTCTCTTTTGCCTAGCCTCTGCTAGTTAGAGGAAAGTATAATGGCAGTTCTGCTGTGGTGTACCTGAAGTGCTTGGAATCCTCATTTGCTCTTTAGAACAGGTAACAGAGAACTTGTTAGTTTGGGATAAAGTTTTCCAGTCTCCAAATGTCTTGAAAGTCTTACATTTTAAAGTTTACTCTGAGCTGGGATCTTGGCTGTTTGAGATACTGAGCATTTTTAAATAAAAGAAAATAAATAGAATATTCTTATTGAAAAATTGCTCAATATTATATTAAATACATGAGACATGCTTAAGTTGGCATCTCAAAGGAAAATATAATTATTACATTAATTTTGCACAGATTTAGTCTAGAAAAAATGCTTTGGCATGTTTCAGATAGCAGGAGGAAGTGAAATTATTACTTGTCACCTTCTCTTTAGTCTCCATTCTAAACTCCCTTGATTTACCAAATTACAGGGAACCATCTGGACCAAAATTATTTGCTGCAATCTTTTGCAGATGAGGTAATAGCTTGTGGTACAGGAAGTTCACTGTCTTAGCTGATCACTGTTGTGATCTGGTGGTTCAGTGGTACAGAGGTACTCTACAGAGGTAAGGCTCTGTAGTCATTGGACTGACACCTTATTTACTGTGTTTGTGTAGCACTTTGTACCTGTCCTGATATGCTGATATGCTGTTCATGCATTCATTGAACATCAGTAGTTACACTCATTTGTCATGAACCCCGTTAAATGTGCATCTGAATGAGAGAGAACTGACTAGGAGATACTATTGGACCATTTCCTTACTGTGGCATCATAAAAAGTAGAAAGTAGGTAAATTAAACAGGAAGATACATAGAGTTAGAAGATCCCAATCTCAATAAAAAAGCCTCTTTATACCCCGAATTTCAGACATCAAATTAGAAGACTGTCAGCAGCTCCTCAGATGCACATGCAGAAAGTCTTAGCAAAACTAGGTGCCTGTGATGGTGTAATACCAGAGTATGTCAGTGCTTCACAATTTTGAGAATGCTCAGAACATCATGGTTAGAGAATTGTTTTTGTTTCACATCACAGAGGAAGTTCTGCAACTTCACAGTGGTAACTCAGGTTTTGATTTTCCTGATTTCTGCATCTTAAGCACTCAGTTTTTCTGTGCTCTCCTTTTCTTAGAGTCTGCATGTAATTTCTACAGGAGGTTTTTGATTTTTTTGTTACAAGGTAGCATGTCCACAAAGAGGATCAGGGTGTGAACTGATGCTAATGCAGCTGAAAAAACATGTGCAGACTGTAGGAAACAAAGTGAAGAGCATTTTGCCTCATGCTTGTCAGAACTGCAGGCAGATGTGGGCAAACCAGTACTGTGTTTTGCTTAGTACTTTGAAGGGGAGCAGGAAGTAGAACTAGTCAAGGATTAGCAGAACTAGCTCACTAGAATAAGAAGGTAAGTCAAGTCCTTCAGGTACATCTATGCAGCTTATGCATTTCTTGGTTTTATTTTTTACTTATTCTCCAAATTGTTCAAATGCTTTCACTGTCCTGTAGAAAGAATAGGAGGAAAAAAGATTGATTGGGAAGAGTGGAATCCTTACACTAAGCATTCTTAATTTGTTTTTATTCAAACAGCAAACAAAAAATCCATAGTCCTGTCAGTAGACTATCAAATGTGTAGGTAAAAAGAGGATAGGGTGCAGCTTTGAAGTGGAGAATAAATCTCATTTTAGCAGAGTTGAAAACGGCACATTCTATAGTGGTACAATGTGTTCAGTATACTTTCTGTGTATCTTAAAGAAGGATTTCGACTGATGCTTCTGACACCAAAAGTACTAACAACTGTTACTGAAGGTGTTTCACTGAAGGTGCCTGATTCTCTTGTTAAGCAGAGGTGAATATGTGCTTGTATGGGAAGTACCTTGGATTCACACAGATTAAAAATGGAGCCCACTCCTACAATTCCAGTATCTAAATGCAGTGTCCTTAAGGGGGAAACAAAACATCGTTCAAACACCTAATCAAATAATTTGGTTTGTTGGCAGGGGGCTTAGATTCCAGCTTGGTTGCAGCTGTTCTTCTGAAACTGATGAAAGAAATCAACATCAATTATCCATTACAAACCTTTGCAATTGGGATGGAAAACAGTCCTGACTTACTGGCTGCCAGAAAGGTATCCTAAGCATTGCTTTCAGTTTGTTCTGAGCTGCTGAATGCTAAACAGTGGATATTAACGGTGCTAACTTCATGGTATGGCATTAACAGTAACACTAAATATTCATTCATTTCTAGGATGTAAATCAGTTTGTGGTATATCATTGAGTACAACATCTGCTGCTTAATCTTACAAAAGAGACAACTGAACCTTACCTGCTTTCTCTTGCATTTGGAAGGCTTTTGTGACAGTCCTCATTGCATTGTTGCCAAAAGGATGGTACTTTGGACTTGTCTTAATTCTGTGTCTGGGTTTTAGGGTAGATCTTCATGCTGTGGTTCCTATACTACAGCATATCTATATATGTTAGATATTTTAAGTTAATCATCAGTTTGCTGAATTAAGAGCATTCTACAAACTGACATCTGGGGCATCCCTTAGGTATCCAGACCTCTATGACTTTTGAGCTGCTTTTTCTACTGAGGTCAAATGTCTGGAACATTTAGAGCCTCTACAGATTCTGTTATACTTTGGGCAAGCAGCTGGATGGTCTGTTGCAATCGTGATTGAACACTGTAATTAGGGAGACTATGTTCTTTCTGGTGAACGTAGCACTGTGAGTCAGAGGGGCGGCTGAGTAACATCTGTTCTTGGCCTAATGTCATAATTCTCACTGTGGCAGAAGGGAGCCGGTGCTTTCACTCAGTGTGTTTTAAACACAATGTATGTTTGTAAAATGTGTTAGTTGAAAAGCAGTACGTTATCGTGACCTTTTGCAAACAGGTGGCAGCACATATTGGCAGTGAACATCATGAAGTAATACTTAATACTGAAGAGGGAATTCAGGCAATAGAGGAAGTTATCTTCTCACTGGAAACCTATGATATAACAACAATAAGAGCTTCGATTGGTAAGATTTTTTTTATGACAATCTTTGGTTTATATTGCCTGAATAAAATGTTAAACAAAACCATGTGGTCATCTGCTAGATGCCTTAGCTGACACAAAGCTTGGAACTGGGACTCCAAAGTTCTGCTCCCCAGTCTTGTCTCTGATATTGCCTTGAGGCAAAAACAGTTATTAGTTTCCAAGTCCCTGACTGCACAAAACAATTGTCAAGAACTGTTCCTGAAGCTTGGAGATGAAAAACAAAAGTTATATGAAGAACAAGAGTTAGATCTGCAGGTCTAGGCTTTCTGCTTTTATAAGTTTGAACCCTGGGGAAGCAGGGGGAAAATTTAGAAGTTATCTGAGGTACTGAATGTTATGTTAGCAAAAGAATTATGATTAATTTTTCCTTGCGTAATTTTAATACTACTGTGAAGTAATTTTTGTCCCCCTTTGCTAAAGGGAGACAAAAACACAGGTAGGCTTCCTAGAATGAATGTTTGATTCTGAGAAATAAAGAAAGTCACCAGCAGCTTCTTAAAAAGCATTGCTAGCCTGGTAAGAGTGAAAAATCCTAATGCAGTGGGACCTTCTGTATAATGCAAGCTGCAACATTTTACCCAGTTAAACTTGCGCCATTTTAAAATGCTGTAAAAAAGTTATAAAGCCAAATAGGCAACACAGTTTTGAAAACAACTCCCTGTGCAGAATTTGGTACATGAAGGGATTTTGCAATGTGAAATACTGAATTCATTTCTATAAAAGTTAAAGCCAATTTTCATCTGTCATTTTTCTTTGTGATTGCTGCTTAGTATAAGAAATAATGAACTAGATCCTTTTCATTAGATCTGTAATACTTCTGTTATAAAAGTGTATTGTTCAGAAGGATGCATTGAGGGGAAAGCATAATTCTGATTAATAATTAATTCCTTTACCAAAAAAATTGAAAAAAGGCCTCCACATCCAGTTCAGCCCACACTGGCAGAGAGTTGAACAGCCACTTTTGCTGGTAGATTTGTTCTCTAAAGCTAGATTTGTTCAGCACTGTGCTGGAATTAATCATGCGCTTAATTTCAGACTATCAAAACAGCTTCTCTTTGTGTTCCCATGGGAATCATCCAGCATTCCCAGGATCACAGACAGATACATCTTTCTGATATTTTGAGGGCTAAGTGTAAATACACAGTTTAGATGTACCTGGAGCACTTAGTGTGACTGTTGGTGGCTTTGAGTAACAATGAGATATTACTTTACATCTGTTGTTTGCTACAGAACAAAGAAATTTAAAACTACTAGCTGTATATAGCATCATACATGTAGCTGTATTTTAGTAACTTTTTCTTTTTAAGGCATGTATCTTGTCTCCAAATATATACGGAAGAAAACAGACAGCGTGGTCATTTTTTCAGGAGAGGGATCGGATGAGCTGACACAAGGATATATATATTTTCACAAGGTAAATATATTTCCTGTACAGAAAGCTACTTGTTCCTTGTTCTCCCTTTCAGGAGAACACCTCTGAGATTTCAAGGTGCAGTGTTTGAGAGTTGTTACAGCTGTCCCAGGGTAGCATAAAATCCAAGGGATGTAATCACCTAAAAATAAGTTTTTTAATCTTCAGCAGTTCCTGACACTGTGTTTTTATGTATGTTGCTTTTGCTAGTCCTAAGATCACTCGATGATCAGTACAACTCAAACACTCAACAGCAAGCAGTGGTTCCCTGAGTGCAGCTGTGTTATGGCTGTATTGCTCCATGCATGTTTCTGGTTGCAGGCGCCGTCTCCTGAGGAAGCTGCAGAGGAGAGCGAGAGGCTTCTGAAGGAGCTCTACCTGTTTGATGTACTTCGTGCAGACAGAACTACTGCAGCACATGGGTAAAACATGCTCTCTTGGATGCTGAGGACTCATGTGATTTAAAAACCTAAGATCATCTTAAAATGTTCTGCTCCTGTGAAGGGAATTACAGCAGTTAACTGTTGACTTAGTACTTTTTGAATTATTCAGTGAGTCAGAATATTGTGATGCAGGATAATTTTATTCCTACTGTGTATGTCTAAGCTAATCTAAGGTGGTCATCGGTCTTCTGAGTAGTAATAGCAAATGGGGTGCACCCCATATTCTGCTTGAGCTCTGTATCTTCATATAACTCAAGACATGGCCCATTTTGAACAGGCATTGCAAATGTTCCAGGCATGCACGGGCACTCAGGGTCTCGGAGCTCTGAATGGGTGGGAAGCATGATATGAGGGCAGGCAAGTCTGGTCTTCAGAGGAATCACCAATCACATTTCTGTTCTAGACACTATGGACAGTGTTTTACAAAAGAAAGTTTTAGTGGATGAGCAAACAGAGGAGGAATAAAACTGAATCTAATTGCATCTTCTTACAGTGCCTCTCGATTAATTGCATCTGCTTAGAGCTCTTGATTCTTAGAGTAGCAGGAAAAGACTGCTGAGGATTTGTCTGCCAAGATGAAATTGAAGTTGTAGCCTGAAGGAATGTGAGCAGCAGCAAAGCCACTGCAAAATTTAATCTGGTCTGTGACCATAGGGCCCACTAAGTTGCCAACTGGTGCAGGAAATATCTTTTGTCTGGGACTGTACTGGTCTTTACAGAAGCAGTGAATTAGAAATACAAATAATCAGAGTTAAGGAGGGAAGGCAAAGTTGTATTTGACTTTGGGGTTTTTTGAGGTCTAGACAAAGAGGAATCTTGAATCTGATGATCAGCATGCATATGAAGAACTAAAACAGCATACTGAAAATATTGTCAGGAAGCTGTCTATAGATAGAAAAAGATGGTACCTTTTGGCAGACCAAACACCCGTTGGGAAGCTTGTGTTGTATTTTGATCTTGCCACAAAATGACTTGCCCAGCTTTTTATAACTTTTTTTATGCTTCTCTTTCCTATATAAAAGATGGACAAAGTGCAGAATACCTGCCATTTGCCTCATAATTTGTTTCGTGCTAAAAAGTTTGACCACATTTTCAGGGCTGTTTAATATCACACCCTGACTGCTTTTCTTTGGAGAGTTGCCATTTCTTGAAGAGAAGTTGGTCTCAGCCTCACAGTGCTGCTAGGAAGAAAGAACTCTTGTATTAACAAATTAAAGCTGAATTTAAGGGGTTCAGATTTATGGAGTAAAGGGAGATGAATTAAGAATAGAGAGAAAATGATGAAAGTACTTTCAGGGCTGTTTAATATCACACCCTGACTGCTTTTCTTTGGAGAGTTGCCATTTCTTGAAGAGAAGTTGGTCTCAGCCTCACAGTGCTGCTAGGAAGAAAGAACTCTTGTATTAACAAATTAAAGCTGAATTTAAGGGGTTCAGATTTATGGAGTAAAGGGAGATGAATTAAGAATAGAGAGAAAATGATGAAAGTACTCAGCTGGAA